GCTTCCTTGGCAAGGCATCGCTTCTCATAGTCAGCGAAGATAAGGGGTGCAGAAGTCTGCAAGTCTGCACTAGAGATCCACCGAGTGTCGTCAGGCGCACATTGCTTGAATGTGACTTTGACCTGCATTGGCTTGTTGCCATACTTGCGGTGCGTGATGACTCGGTCCACTTCCTGATGTCCGTCCATAGAAGGCGGATCCTGTGATCGTCGGCCGGGAAACTCGTCAACGGAAGGTGGCGTGTAGATGGCCAGCTTCGACGCGTGGAAGACCCGGTGCACTGGAAGGTGCAGTGGAATGTTGACCACAAAGGAAGGACCTGCGGGGTCGTCTCCAACGACAGAAGTGACTTCCCATGGTCCGAACCATTTCGGAAGGAGTTTGCGCGAAACGTCCTGCTCGAGCGCAAATTCCTCGGAGAGGACCCAAACAAGGTCTCCCTCGCGGAAAGGATATGGAAGTCGGCGTTGGTTAGCCTGCTGCTGCATGCGGATCTGAGCCTTTTGCATATTCGCGTGGGCTTTCATTAGCAAGTCCCGATACTTCCAGACAGAAGCGGGAGAGCAAGGGACGTCTATGTCGGCAGCCTGTGGCAAAAGGAGATCAGCGAAGATCCGTGCTTTCTCTCCACCATGATGTAGCTCGAATGGTGTGATGCAGATCGCCAGGTGCACCGAAGTGTTATAGGCGAACTCGATGTCGGGAAGCCAGTCAACCCAATCTTTCTGGTTGGGACGGATGAGCGTACGCAACATCATCTGAGCGGTCTGGTGTGCTCGCTCCGTCTGGCCATCCGTCTGCGGGTGCCAAGCTGAGCTCGGCTTCATTGTCGTACAGGACTCAGCCATAAGGGAAGTCCAAAAGGCCGACATGAAGCGAGTATCTCGGTCGCTCACTATGTCTTCCGGAACACCCTGGTTAGTAATCCAACCGGTGTGCAAGAGTCGTACGAGCTCAGGTGCTGCAGCATGATACTTGCAAGGAAGGAAGCGAGCATACTTACTCAAACGGTCAACAACCGTGAGAATACCGTCATGGCCGAGGCGATCGCGGGGGAACGGGCCTGTCATGTCCATAGCAATGGAGAGGCGCGGTGCCCGAGGAATCGGCAACGGTTTCAGTTCGCCGAAGGGGACTCGAGATCGACCTTTGTTACGATGGCAAACTGCACATGACTCAATGTACCTCGTGACGTCGTGAAGGACGTCGGGCCAGTGAAAACGCTGGCGGAGGTGTGCTAATGTGCGGTTTACGCCAAGGTGTGCCAAAAGTCGTGCGTCGTGGAATTCGCCGAGAAGACGAGTCCGTAAGATGCGATCTTGGGGCACAACTAACAAGTCCTTTCCTCTCGTGTGAAGGAGGAGGAACCCGTCGAAAATCCAGTAATGGCTAGCCAGCGGGTGATCCGATGAAAGCTCCGCATAAAGCGTAGAGTAAGTCGGATCGGACTTGTAGCCTTTGACGAAATGCGGCTGCAGATCGTCATCGAGGTCGAATGCCGTGGTCACAATGGCGCAAAATTCCGGCCGTCGTGAGAGGGCGTCCGCAGCTCGATTGGCGGGACCGGGAATGTGGCACGAGTCAAAGTCGAACTGGTCGATGTAATACATCCATCGGCCGATCGTGCTAGTGACCGTATCCTGCGTTTTATAAAAGGTCAACGGATTGTTGTCCGTATTCCATTTAAAACGCCGACGATCGAGAAGAAAGTGGCGCCACCGTTTGAGAACGGTGACGAGCGCGAGTAGCTCTTTCTTCCTAGCGTCGTCGAGAGTGTTGACGAGAGGCACCTTTTGGGAGAAATACTCAACCGGATGCCAACCGTCCTCGTGACACTGTTCCAACACCGCACCAAAACCGTATCCCGAAGCGTCCGTAGTCACTTGGGTGGGAAGGGTGGGGTCGTATATACGGAGGGCAGGTGCGGCTTGCATCGCTGCCTTCAACGTAGTGAACGCGCCACGGGCTGCGTCGTCGAACTCGAAGGGCACCTTCGGGGACTGAAGTCTCAACAAAGGAGCGGCCACTTTCGAGTATGACTCGACGAATCATTTATAATATCCAGCCAAACCCATGAAAGAGCGTACATCCATCGTGCAACGGGGTTCCGACTAATCCACGATGGCTTGGATCTTGTCCGCTAAGGGACGAATGCCTTTCAGCGTGACATAGTGGCCCAAGTACTCAAGCTCCTGCTTAGCGAACTCGCACTTGTCGAGGTTCGCTTTGTACTTGGCCGGTCGCAAATGATCCAAAACAGCGCGAAGGTGTACGATGTGTTCGTCCAACGTCCTACTATAAACCAAGATGTCATCGAGGTAGATGAGGACGCTGCGATCGAGCAAGGCACGAAACTCAGTCGTCATAGCTGCTTGGAAAGTCACGGGAGCATTGGTGAGGCCAAATGGCATGACAACCCACTCAAAATGCCCGTACCGCGTCTTGAACGCGGTTTTGTACCGATCTTGAGGCTGAATTTCAATCTAGTGGTAACCCGACTTCAAGTCCAACTTCGAGAAGTACGTCGCGCCGCCTAACCGCTCAAGGAGATCATCAATCCGAGGGAGAGGGTCGGCGTTCTTTATGGTTTGTGCGTTAAGTTTGCGATAATCGATGCATAACCGTAGATCTTTGTTCTTCTTCCGGACGAAGAGAACAGGGGCACCGTAAGGCGAACAACTAGGGCGAATCCAGCCCTTGTCGAGAAGGTCATCGAGTTGTGCGCGAAGCACCTGGAGTTCCTCTTCGCTCATGCGATAAATACATCCACGCGGAGGGACGGCACTAGCCTCGAGAGTGATCCCGTGACGTATGGGCCGATCCGGAACCGTTCCGGTGGGAACCTCGAAAACGTCTCTATACTCGTCCAAGAGGTGAGAAATACGTGGGTCCGACGGTGACGCGGCTGGTCCTTCCGGCGAGCGGAGAGCATGCAAGAATACAAGGCCCATCTCCTCGACGTCGTGACCGTACATGGGACTAACACTCCGTTCCAATCACGGATGTGAACGGTCCGGTCATGGAAGTTCACCGGATGATCGGCGCTACGCAACCAAGACATGCCTAGAATCATATCGAACTTGGTGTCGAGGATGTCAAAAGACACCGGCTCGCACGCAAGTGGCGCAAAGTATACCGGAACGCTATCGACGCATCGGTCAATAGACTTTTGCATGCGGCCGTCCGCGAGTGTAACTTGCGTAGGTTGCGTTTTCCTTCGAACGCGCAGGCCAAGGCCTGCGCGGGACATAAAGGCTTGGCTCATGAAGTTGTGAGACGCTCCGCAATCAATCAAGGCACTACAGGTTGCCTTTCCGATTTGAATGCGGATATAGAGCAAAGGAACGTCGGTTTCGGCATACCTTAGGGTGGCGTACTCGCGGTCAATCTTCGCAAGATAGGAGCGGAGATCGACAACCGCTACCCCGTCGTCCGTCAACCGAGCTGGTATTGTAGCGTGCAAATAGGAGCGTAGATTTGCCATCAAGGCGTTGCAATGCGGCCTTGGCAACGTTCCGGTTGAGGGTAGAGGCATCCAAGCGAAGTCCTCTTTCGTGAGTGGGTCGAGCTCCTCAAGTCTTGACCACGCCGTCAAGTCCTCGAAAATCAGTGGCGAGCTGACCGGATCACTTGCCGACGGTGTACAGGTTCCGCATACGCAATCTCAGTGCACGTGGCTCGGCTGGTCTAGTGGTGGTACCAGCTGGGCGGCATAATCCTCGTACGTAGCACGAGAATCAGCGACTAACGCATGCTCCCCGGTAGTGACATTGATTGCTAGCAAGGCAACCGGTTCCGGTGGGGTGAGGAGAGATGTCGCCTCTCTCCTTGCGCAACTCAGTTTCCCGAGTTCGCTGGACGGGGTACACGTGCCTTGCCCTTGTCGGGGCATGGTGCGGTCAAGTGAGTGACACCATTGCACCAAAGGCAATATCCGTACCGTTGTCGAAGATCAAATACTTCCTTGGTTATATTGAACGCCATCCATGGTTGCTGCCCAGTTCCCGTCGATGTCATCGCTTGTGTCGCCTTGTTCTTTCGAACTCTCTTCGGACGCTTCGGCGGAGCGCTGCGACAGTTCCTCCATCACTCGAGGATGCTGCTTCAGCGTGGAGATCGACTGTTTCTTCAGAAATCACGGCATTGTTATGTGTCGGTCGTTGATAGCCCTGCTTAGCCACATAGTGCGGCTGGGACTGCTTCTCGTTAGCGGCCTTGTCGTCCGTTTGGATGACCAGGTTCGCGCGATCCAGAATAGCCTGGAATGAGGCATAGTCGTACTCGTTGCCGAGTGCCGACCGCAGTCCTGCGCACGATCGCGAGAAAAACTCGGATCGTTGGTTTGGAAAGCTCAAATCGAAGCCTGGCGTGGTCACTATCTTCTGCCACTTGATWGTCCAGTCTCGAGTTGGCATGCTTCCTTGTGAGCTGGTGTACACCTCGTTCATGGYCRCCTTCACRWCGTTGYGGACCATGAATCGAGTGAACCATAGTTGCTCGAACTCCTTCCACGTAATGCGCGTGTGGAGTTCGGCRATGGTGCATTGCTTGGTGGCCGCAAGGTGGTTCATCCATGCCTGTGCTCCTCCAATCAGTTGTAGGTAGAGCGCCTTCAACATGTCTTCAGCCGGGACAGTGCGGCAGGATGCTTCCGTGAGGAAGCCTTGCCACCATGTCARGGCGTCTRTCTTGTTGTAGTCRTCGAACTTGYTGATGTTGAAGTGCGGCATCTTGTAGTTCTTTGTAGCGGCGTCCGGTCTTGTCTGCAGCTTSGTGATGTCCGTCTTGATGGCGGCCACCGTGCTGCTGATCGTGTCCGTACCAGTGAAAGCACCTAGGTCGCCGATGAGATTGACGACATGGTCGATGCGCCCGTTGAGCTGCTTCGCCGTGTTTGTCGTGCAGCCTGGCGCCGCTTGGGAAGGCCTTGCCTCCAGAGTAGCAATGCGGGCATCCATCTGTTTCAGCTGGGAGTCCGCGACCTTAACGGCTGCCGCAAGCCTCTTCACGTTATTGGTGAGATCGTTTTGTAGCTGCTGTGTAGATCTGGAATGAAGTTCCCCCATGGTGCTGTTCCAGATGACGACACGCATTGTGTTGAGTAGAATGTCTGCCAGGTTTTGTCTCTCCTCTTGTACTGTCGTTGGCTCGGCGCCTGCTACGGGGACATAACGCATCCCGTTGAGTACCGCTGTCCATTGATCTTGTTGAGAGATCAGAAGCTCCGCACTGTCCGCGTTGAGCTGGTCGGTCGCCAACTGCGCCGCCTCAGCTTGTTGCTGGGCGCGGGCTGCAGCTTCTGCTGCTAGCCGTTGTTTGTGTGCTTCGGCAGCATCTTGTCGTTCCTTGGCAAGGGTTAGTGCGGCCGTATAGGTCTGCACTCTCTGAATGTAGTCCGCGATGAGCTCATTCGGCCCTTGAGCAGGACAGACCGGAAATGGTTCGGCATTGCTAGATGTCGACGTCTTGGATGACGTCCCGCTGTTCGGCGTGTTCGCCATCTGAGTGCTGGTTTGTGGCTGCTGTCGAACTGCAGGTTGTTGTTGCTGTTGGCGATCTGCGATCCTCCTGCTGCGTCGTGGCTGCTGTTCGGTGGCTTGCCCTGTTGGCATCACTGAACTGCTGCTAAAGGCTGGCTCGTCCGAATGGTCGCAGAACAGTGAGAGGGAGAGGGTGGGTACAGGGGTAGAATAGATTAGGCAATTCGCATACAGTCCCTGTCCCAATGATGGACTTTAGACACCTAATCAAAAAGAAAAGATAAACTTTCCCGAAAACAACTTAAAAATTCATAATAAGAAAATAAAGTTTAATTAATGATTAATAATGAATTAATATTTCCTAACAATAATCAATAAAACAATAATTGCAATAATGATAATTATTGAATTTAAATTGTATCGATTAGGTATCCGTTGAGATCATCTTTAGTCCGGGAGTTCACCATTGAATAGTGAACTACCCGGAAGTTGCGATTCTGGGGGAACAATTACGAACAGTTTGCCAAAAAAAAAAATTCGAAAATTTAGGAAGAAAAACACTCGAATTTTCGAAAAACGTAAAATTTCAGGAAATTCAACCTACAAAATCCGATTTTTAAAGGCCTAAGTCCGTTTTCATAATTTTTCGAACTTAGGGAAAGAAAAAAATTCGCAAAAATTTCGGAGTCCAACCCTAATTTTTCGCGATTCCGCGGAATTTTCGGTTTTACGGTTCCAAAACATTCAAATTTCCCAATTTGAACAAAATCCGAAAGTTATCGTAACCCTAATTTCCAATACTGAAATAAAACGGAAATACCGATTTAGAAAACGAAATATAGGATTTAAAACAGAATGCCGAAATTAAAAACGGAATGCCGAATTGAAAATCAGAATGCCGAATTAAACACAATACTGCTTTAAACCTAATAACGCATTAGAATCGCAAATCCGAATTGAACAGAATATCGGATTAACCAGAATACCAATTAATCGGAATTTGAATTAAACAGAATACCGGATTAAAACAGAAATCCGAATTGAAAGTCCGAATACCGAATTGAAACGGAATGCCGAATTAAACAGAATACCGAAAAAACAGAAAAAAAATTTGCAACTTTGAATCTCGATAGTAATATAGAGCTGATTTGGAAGATCGAAGAAGCATCTATTCCTAAATCAGACTTACCTGGTGAGCAGATCCATCGTTTGGTCTGCTCCGATACCAAAATTGTTACATACTCGTCAATACTTCAACGAGTATGGGGCAGAACCAAAGATCAACCAATATAGGATGAGTATGCATGCAGCGGAAGTCTGATAATAGACTGACTTACACAGATATCACTCCACACACAAACAATCGTGAGATGGTGGGGTCTGAGCCAAGCACAGACGATGCTCAGGCCCCATACAAACATACACAGATGAGAGGTGGGAGGAGAGACGAAGGAGGTGGGATATTTAGGTAGCACCAGATGTCACCGAGATAGAATCCAGTAGGTCACCGATATGGTAGTCCAAAATGTCATCGAACAAGATCAAATGCCGTGAACAATAAGTCACCAAAGTCGGAGATACAGAGTACTAATGTAACCGGTGTCCAATCTGTGATGCAGCCGAGTATTATCCCCAACAATCTCCAAGTCTCGAACCCGGTAAGTACCACAACCTCTTACCACCGAAGTCCAACACTGATCTCTGTCCAACTAGTATCAAGTCTCCAGTCTGAAGAAGAAGAAGAAGAAGAAGAAGAAGAAGAAGAAGAAGAAGAAGAAGTCTGAAGAAGAAGAAGAAGAGATGAAGAAGAAGAAGAAGGCAGAGGAGGAGAGAGGTGAGGAAGAGGAGAGCCAGGGACCGCGGTGGGAGGAGAAGACCTCACTCCCGAGTACCTGGCCTGTTGCAGCTGACGGAAGCCGAGATCGGCTATGGCTGCCCGCTGCCTGGCTCCTCGCTCGCTACTGCTGCTGCGCTAGCTGCGCTGCTGCTGCTCCTCCACGCTTCGCTAAGAATAGCGCTGGCGCTACTGCTCCTCCGCGGAACCGATACGCACTGGCGCTGATGCAGCATGCCAGTGGCTCAATGCCTCACAATGAGGCTGGACCGGTCTTTAGTACCGGTGGAAAAGAGGCCGACCTCAATGCTGCGAGGCCTGGCCGTGATCTGAACCGTCAAGATTGTCGATTCAGATCCGATCGGCGGGCGGCAGCCTCAAAAGCGCCGCCAGGCCCAAAACGAGAATGTTATTTGGGCCTGCCCGTCGGTCTGGTCCAAAGATGTGGCCTTTCGGCCTGCTGTACCCCAAGTCTGGGCCTTTAGGCCCTACTGTGTCCCTCTGGCAATCGGTCGGGTTCGATAGGGCCCATGTGGCGTCGAAGATGTAACAGCAGTACTCGTATGTGAACCGCGTCTCTATCTGTGATGACCCGTCCAAACATGGACTGAAACACACAGCTGATTTCTGAGTTTTTCCCATAGACTGAACGCCTTGCTGAGTTTCCCGCTTGCTACTAAGTCTGTGTGTGCACGCTTGCTGGACTGCATGTCTGTCTGAGTGCTGGTTGGCTTGAGTGTGTGTGTGGCCATGCCTGTCTGAGTGCTGGTTGGCTTGAGTGTGTGTGTGGTCGTGCCTGTCTGAGTGCTGGTTGGCTTGAGTGTGTGTGTGGCCCGCAACGGCAGTTGCTCGTTCATTGGGCCCTCAGGGCCGGTACTTACCAGTGGTCGTGACATTGAGGGATTGCAGCATGAAAAACACTCAAGTAGCGGGTAGGCCGGTACCACACCCTGAAGGGGTAGATGTGCGGGTACTGGAGACCGAGCAGAAGTAGACAAAAGTGGCATTCTTAGAGACCCAGTAGTTGTAGGTTAGGTCTAGGTGGATACCAGTCCAACCAGTCTGGGTCTAGGGCTTGTACGGGCAATATCAGAGTCTGCAATGATGTTTCCCTCCGAAAAGGAGGTACCGGTTGCTTGGAAGGCCGAGCGGACTGGAAGTCACCGCTCGAAGAGGCAAGCAGACCGCTATATCTCCCAGTCGGGCGAAGAGCCTGGCCTCTTTTTCGGTGTGCAAGTTTGGCGACACACTGATGGAGCGCTGGCTGGAGCAGCGCTATGCTGGAGCAGCGCTGCTGGGGAGGAAGGAGAAGGACACGAGGGAGGAAGAAGGAAGGAAGGGGGAGGAGCGCCAGGGGTACTTACCTGGCTATGGTGCCAGCCATCTTCATCACCTTGGTGGGCGCTGCGGCACGGAGTCCCCAACTGGGGAGAGCCACACCAAGAAGCTTCGAGGCAGTGTCAAGCATGGCGGCCTGAGCTAGAGCAGCCATAGCTGCTTTGGATTGTCCTTTGGGCATCTGGCCAAGGCCTAGTTGTCCGCCATAGCCTCGGCCTATGAGAGTGAAGAGTGGGAGAGGCGGCCATGGCTATGGTGGACCTCAAGTGATACCTGCAGTAGAAGAGGGACTCGGACATTGATTCTGGATTAGCTATTCAACATTGTATTATTATTTCTTGTATGAATAAGAGAAGGGGGAGATAAGGAGGAGGAGATTGTTGGGCGGCGAAGAAGAGCCTTGCCATTGTCTTTGCTGGTGTACATCATCTTCTTCTTCTTACTTCTTCTTCTTACTTCTTCTTCTTCTTCTAATCCTCTCTCTTCTCTCAAGTTCATTCATTTCTTTCTGCAATTGGGCAGCATTGTACTATCTGATGGATGTGTATCTCAAAATTGGCCAGGATCATAACATTGGTATCGGAGCGGATTCTACTTGCTGGTGAGAGTTGACTTTGCTGCTGTAACCCTAACCTAAGTGGTTGAGGGCAACACTTCGGGTTAGGGTTGGTTTGTGAAGGGAAGAGGGGCAGCGTGGTTGAGGGAAGCTGCCCCCACCTGGTTAGGTCACGAAGGGTCGACCTTGAACCTCACCAGATTGCTTGAGAGTGAGATTAGGATGGCGAGACATTTCGAGGGGACTTCATGCGGCGATTTGAGAGAGGCGATATTGAGAGGCACTCGCACCTGGAATCTGATTCAAGGGAGACACTTGGCAACTTAAGGGCTGCCCTCAAGTAGGCGAGCTTGAGGGTCAGCGGCCACTCAGCATCTACGGACTGCAAGTTGCTAGCATCGACGGGGGATCCGGCGTTGCACTTGGGCGTTGGAGTCAGACCCTCCTAGGAAATAGGACACTAGTGTACCGGTAGCGTTAGAGGGGTCAGGAGGATCACATGAGAGGGGGGTGAGTTCTATTCATCTCGAAGCTCAAGGCCACTCAGGTAAGTGTTGTGCACCCTACGGGATGCCCATGTGTGTGTGCATGGTATGGTTTGTCCTACTGGGGTTACTCTGGGTTTCTTTTCCTACTCCTCTGTGGTCTTGATTGTGTGATTGAATGCATGTGATCTACCTACTCACCTGATGGATGGGAAATGAAGTATCTTGATCTAAATGTCGAGTCTTTCTACAGTGCTTTGTCTTTCATCTCTGAACGGTTGTAGTCTGTAGGTTTTGCCGAAAGTTGAAATTTTGTTTTTCAGTACAATAGAAACTGAACTAAATCCATGAGGCACTCCTCTTGGTTGGGACCTGGCCGCGACCTACGTGGGACCTCTGGAACCCAATGGGACCGGGCCCAAACAAGAAGAGCCCTTTGGGCCCAAATCGGTTAGGCATTAGCCCATTGTCTTTTGATTGTGTTACGGAGTTCTTTCTTCTTGTTTAGGACACCTACAGACGTTTCGCATATCTTTTGGTTGCACTGTCCGCAGCTTGACTCGCACCCTGTACACCACTCAATTCTCCATTGTTGCATTTAGTCACTCGTTGTCTGGTTTGTTGTACGGTCACGGAGCTGGTCAGACTAGACTCGAGAGGACCTCGTATGCAGTCTGATCAGACTGGGTCGCTGGATCAGACCTCTCGTGTGAATTTGATTGTTTTTCTTTTGGTTTGCTGCTCTCTATGTCCAAATGGAATGTCGCTCCGGCTAGGAGTTCTACCTTCTCTTCCCTGAGTTTTCCAGTCTGTTTCTCTGAGTTCATTTCCGATGCCCGTGGAGACTCGCAACCAGAAAGAAGAGAGAGAGAGGAGGGAGAGAGAAAAGGAAGAGAGGGAAAGTGACCGTCTGGAGTGGGTAAGGACTGGGAAAAGGAGTGTTTGTCCAAGTAAAAATGGGAGTGCACCTCTTGAGAGTCTGATTGATTCTTTTGCTGATTGGCGTCTCTCTGACCCACCTGCCAACACCAACGGTCCGAAAATGGCCGAACTATCTTCAGGACAATGGCGGGCCCTACTAAATGCAGCTTGCGATACAGAGAAACCGTATCTGCAAGGACTCCTAGATAGTGCTATAGAAAGGGAACAGGAAGCGGAGAAGGAGAGGAAGGAACAACTGCTAAAAAGTCAGGAGGCCATCTTGGAAATTGTTCCCTCCCTGACCAAAGAGCAGTGTGGGGAATAGTTGCAGTCCATACTCTCGGCTATCGTCCAAGTCCGGAGGCTTGAAGATCATACCACTCAGATCGCTGACGTCTTCGCAAAATTGAAGACACTTCAGGAGGATCTGACTGATATGACCAGCAAGTACCGCGACTTGATGGTAGAGGTTGTTGAGCTGAGACAGGCCCAAGTAACCAATCCTCTTCCTCTACCCCCTCGTTCCGGAGCTGCGATTGAGAGTAATCTTGCCCCTCTTACCGTATCTACTTCTGCTGCTTCCTTGAGTGTGATGGCAAACCCATCAGGACCTGCAGCAGGTGCAGATTCTGCTGTTGCCGTAACAAGCAACGAGGCAGGAAACTCTGCAACTGCCGCAGCCCCAAAATCTGAACCAGCAGGTGCTGGTCCCAGCCACGCCTGTCCCTATGTGGATCGAAAGGAGGTGCAAATACCGTCTAAGTACGACGACAAAGAAGACATTGAATCCTGGATCAGCTCCATGAGGGCATACTTCAAGGTGTTGGGGACTCGGCCAGAGACCCAGCCAGTGATCATGGGAATGAATGTTGAGCCGGTTGTACGGGGCTTCCTAGAAGTCCAAGCTACGCAGGCTGGGGTTCCAAAGATCGAACTCACAAGGTGGCTTAAGGCCACCCCGGTTGCCTCCCTCGAGGAGCTCCTCATTTCCCAGTATAAGGATCCACACGCTGCAGCAAGGGCAAGAAGCCAGCTTGACAAAATCAAACGCAGCAAGTGCACGGGCTCCATGAAAAGCCTGCAAACCTATCTCAGCAAGATGTTTGCTACACCTGGTCTTGAACTGACTGACCAATCTTGCTTGGATGTGGTCAAGGGCGCAGTCCCCACCAGTTTTACTAATCGCCTAGGCAGGGACTTCATTGGGTATATTGACTGGTTCACTCTAATGAAGGACATAGTCCGTCTCGAGGCGGTAGACCTCGTCACCACAGCAGGCAGCAAAAAGCCCATGGGCGGCAGGCGGTTCAAAGGCAACAGTCGTTTTGCTGTGCATGACCTGCTGGAGGCTGAAGAGGAGGCCGAAGCAGATGACCCCACTCTTGGTGACGACCAAGAACAGGACGCTGATACATCCTGTTCGTCAGCCCATGAGTCTGATGTAAATCAAGAAGAAGAAAAAATTATTGCCTTTAAAAAAACAGCCAATACAAAGGGACCGAATCGGAATGCAGGGAAGAGCTATGTCCAACTTCCCAAGGGAGTCAAGATCCCAGCAAAACCGGAGGATGCGGCCACTAAATCATGGATCGAACTCCGGATCACTGAAAATGATTGGCGGGGTAGACTCAAGAAGGGGGTATGCCTGCATTGCCAGAAACCAAACCATAAAGTACAGGATTGCTATAGGCTGCAGGGAAACCAGACCCGGACGTAGAGTCGACTTCAGCACACTACATCAAGGGAGACTGAATCTGATGCAGATCAACAGTCCTCCCTTGAAGCCCAATCATCTGCTCAAGCCAAGGTTGAAGTGTGTGATGTGTTGTATGTCGAGCCTTGGCAGGAGTCTGGGACGGTCGATTTCCACTACCACTTGGAGCATTGGGCTGAGATGTAACAGCAGCGTGCCTAAGGGACATCGAAGCTGATCTTCTTCAAACTTCTCATAAACCACCGCTATCTCCGTGTCTTGATTGACTGTGGCGCGATGGCTAACTTTATGTCACCTCACGGGATACACAAAGTGGGCTTGGGAATGAAGCAAGTGGCCTTGCAGAACCCTTGCCGAACCCAAGTTGGCAACAAGGAAGTTGTCTCTTCTACGCATGCAGTCAAAGGTGTGCGCACTACCTTTGACAAGAAAAAAATTGTCACCCACGCACTGAACTTCTATGTCCTTGACAAGTGCCCCTTCGACGATGTCCTTGGCTTGAGCTGGCTGCAGTCCCAATGCAAATGGACCAAGTGGAAGGAGTCACTCTCTATGGTCAAAGATGCCCGAGGGAACGAACTTCATGTCCTCTTGGATGAGAAGCACGAGTCCCCAATGAGTTTTCTGAATGTTATGAAGTTCTGCAAGAAATGGTGCAAGCACAAGGAGGAAGAACAGTTGTATACTTTGTTCGTCCTACTCATGTGCCAACTACTTTTGCGGTGAATACCACTACTACATCACCTAGTGATACTACTTCTAGTACTACTTCTCTACCTCCTACTACTCCAAATGATCCCACTTCAGACTCGGTTGCCTCTATTCGCAACCTGCGACCTGATCTAGGTGATCCCTTTGCTGATCCTCCACCCCCACCGATTCCCCCAAACATCCAAAACCTACTCGACCGATTCCTGGAAGTTCTGGCCGAGCCACGTGGAATCCCCACGCGATCGGTCTGACACACCATTGAGTTGGTCGAGGGTGTTGTTCCTCCAAAGGGTTGCATATACCAAATGGGACCCGGCGAGTTAGAGGAACTCTGGCGACAGACTGACGACATGATTGACAAAGGGTGGATCAAGCCTAGCGAGTCTGAATTTGGTGCTCCTGTTTTGTTTGTTCCGAAGAAAAGAAGCAAACTTCGCATGTGTATTGAAATGTTCGCGAACTGCGCTCTTTTCTTGGTCTCGCGTCATACTATTGGAAGTTTGTACCCCGCTTCTCTATTGTTGCGCGTCCATTGTCTCGACTGACAAGTAAGAATGTTCCCTATTCCTAGGATACCCGTGCACGAAAACCTTTCAAGCTTTGAAAGACGCCTTGCTAAGTTACCCAGTACTTCGCGTTGCAGATCTCAAACCGACATTCGTAGTTACTACAAATGCAAGTCAGTATGGAATCGGCGCATTGCTGCAGCAAGATGACGGCGATGGCTTGCGGCCGCTCGAATTCTATAGCAAACGCATGCCTGGCGTAAAGGTAGCCACTTCCACCTACATGCGCGAGCTCTATGCTTTGCGTATGGCTTTGGACCATTGGAAGCACTATCTTTTGGGACGCCACGTCAAAATGTTCTCAGATCATGAGACCTTGAAGTGGATCATGGAGCATACTACCCTGTCCCCTACGTTAATTCGCAGGTTCCATGAAATTGACATCTTTGACTTCGAGTTGAGACACAAAAAGGGTTATTATCGAGTCGCTGACGCATTGTCTCGCCACCCTGAGTACATTACTTGCCTTGTAAAATCCTACGACCTCCGGAAGAAACTGAAGGAGGAGCTCGTAGAGCAAACAGCCAAGGATCCAGAACTTAATCCCATCCTTGAGCGGCGGCGGGCTGATCCTAGTAGTCGGCCTGATTTTCACGAATATGGAGGACTGATTTTCCATCGCTACGGGAACCACGACCGCTTGCGTGTGCCCAACCATGAGCCTCTTCGCACGCATTTTCTGGATTTGGCTCATGGCCGGAGCGAACACTTAGGCATGGCAAAGACGTACGCAAATCTGTTGCGACTGTTTGATTGGCCTGGCATGAAAGGGACTGCTGAAAAGTTTGTGGTTGAGTGTCAAGTCTGTCAACGAATCAAACCATGCTGACAAAAGCCCATGGGGCTACGCGCACCCCTTCCCGTTCCCGATGGTCCCGGGGAGTCCGTCTCCATTGACTTCACCGACTTGGGAAAGGTACTTAAGAACCGCTACTCACAAGTCATGGTGATTGTGGACCGATTCTCAAAGTTTCTCAATCTGATCCCTTTGCCGCCCCACGCCCCAACAAAATTAGTGATTCGTGAGTTCCAACAGAAGTACATTCTGCAGTTCGGGACCCCGAAGACTCTCGTAAGCGATCGGGACCCGCGCTTCATTAGTACTGAATGGAAGGACTTCACGTCTCATCTGGGAATCAGGTTGTGTATGACATCTGACCGACACCAGAAGCCAACGTTTTGGCTGAAGAAATCAACCAGACTGTGTTCCAACTTCTCCACGCTTTGATTATCCCGGATCAGGAAACATGGGATGAAGAGTTTAATTCCGTTAGGGGGTTGTACAACAACTCCATCCATTCTGCCACCGGCATGACACCTAACAGGCTGCATCTCGGTTGGCAGATCTGTAATCCGCTCTCCTACCTATTCCCTGAGCAGCCAGCTGGCTTAACACCCGACAGGCCTGGCTTCAGGGCCAAGTATGATCGCTTGCTCAAGGTTGCCATTGCAGCCATGACCAAGCGACAACACGCCATGATCCATCATGCAAACAAGGGGCGCTGTCGAGCGCATCGGTCCGGCACCGCAAGAGGCAGCGCGGGACCCTCCCGGTCGCGTCACGCAGGAGTTGGTTTTTATCCTCGTCGCGAATATACATGTGGAGCTTCCACAAGCCGCTCCGAACGAGTGCGTCAGCCATACCTCCCGCGAGCCCCTACGACAGGATAGGGCCTACGCGATGCACGACTTACCTCCACCTTACGGGAGTTGTCACCTCCCTTCTGTGGGCGTCCCAACCGAGCTACCAGTCCACAGCACGAAAGCTGATCAGTTGCAATCGCAGAGGTGGACCAGCCAAGGGTGTTTCTCGTTCGCTGTAGCACAGGGGGTACGCGCGGTAGTACGCCTCTATCGGACCCTTACACGAACCGACATCTTGGGGGGCTGAGGTCCCAAGCGCGACTCGGCGTCGGTCGACTACGACGTATCCCACTCACCACGCATACACCACACCACGAACACAAAAATAAAACACATACGCACACATCAAACAACGCGACAACACTCCTAGTCCCTTAGTAGCCATCCCATAACTTTTCGATGTGGAGATCGGATAGGTGTCGCGTGCGAGACTTTAATATAAAACCGCGCGGACGCAAGGCTGAATTCATATCGACTTGCACTGCATGCGTACGCAAGCAGTCACAATGATGGTGTACTATGTAGTACCCATACCCATGCGGTCCTCGTTAATCTCGAGGGTCGCGTTCGGCACTCAAGTGTCGGCTGATACGCGCCTTGAGGGTTAATCTCTCGACGTTGAACAACCGCCAAGTGCGGTTGAAGACCACACCCTCTTCTGCACCCTGCGGAGAGTGGGTGGTACACAGGTTCATACCTGTGGTGGCAATTGTCTCTTATCGCCCTGAAGACCAGCTCCATCATCTAGGGCCTGGAAACGAGTCAAGGGGTTTGACTTTGACGGTTGCCACGGACTATAACGTCCAACTATAACAACTCTAAAGAGCAAATATAGGCCGAGGGCTTCCCTGCCCCAAAATCACAACCTTGGGTACCCCTTTTTCTGATTGGCACCGCGGTCTATACCGATTCTGAACACTCATGCACATGTATGAGTCCCTTGGTCCCATAACTCCAGACACTAGGACGGCAAAACGTCACGCGCAAAACTTAGATATATAGTTGCGTGGTTGCAAGCCTATCCTACACC